GGTCTCAGTCATCGTGCCCCACTCATATAGTCAACATCTGTGCGAGCGTGCCATGCTCAAATGAGATTAGGGAGATGTGTAAAATGTGGGAAAGTGCAAAATTTTGTAGAAAAACACCACCCGAATAGGCTGTAGCAGTGCGAGCGATGAATCTGTTTAACGACAATGCAATGTCACATTTCCGCGAATTCCTCAAAAGGAGGCAAAAGCAAGTGTCATTGGATAGGTTCCTTGTTAAAGTTGCACAAAAAGAAAAAGATTCCAGTGAGCCAACAGACACAGTGAGGGAAAAAATAATTTGATCCTCTGCTGATTTTGTACGTTTGCCCACTGACAAAGAAATGATCAGTATAATTCTAATGGTAGGTTTATTTGAACAGTGAGAGACAGAATAACAACAACACAATCCAGAAAAACGCATGTCAAAAATGTTATAAATTGATTTGCATTTTAATGAGGGAAATAAGTATTTGACCCCCTCTCAATCAGAAAGATTTCTGGCTCCCAGGTGTTTTTATACAGGAAACAAGCTGAGATTAGGAGCACTCCCTTTAAGAGTGTGCTCCTAATCTCAGCTCGTTACCTGTATAAAAGACACCTGTCCACAGAAGCAATCAATCAGATTCCAAACTCTCCACCATGGCCAAGACCAAAGAGCTCTCCAAGGATGTCAGGGACAATATTGTAGACCAAAACAGGCTGGAATGGGTTACAATACCATTGCCAAGCAGCTTGGTGAGAAGGTGACAACAGTTGGTGCGATTATTCGCAAATTGAAGAAACACAAAAGAACCGTCAATCTCCCTCAGCCTGGGGCTCCATGCAAGATCTCACCTCGTGGAGTTGCAATGATCATGAGAACGGTGAGGAATCAGCCCAGAACTACACGGGAGGATCTTGTCAATGATCTCAAGGCAGCTGGGACCAGTCACCAAGAAAACAATTGGTAACACAATACGCCGTGAAGGACTGAAATCCTGCAGCACCCGCAAGGTCCCCCTCTGCTCAAAAAAGCACATATACATGCCCGTCTGAAGTTTGCCAATGAACATTTGAATGATTCAGAGGACAACTGGGTGAAAGTGTTGTGGTCAGATGAGACCAAAATGGAGCTCTTTGGCGTCAACTCAACTCGCCGTGTTTGGAAGAGGAGGAATGCTGTATATGACCCCAAGAACACCATCCCCACCGTCAAACATGGAGGTGGAAACATTATGCTTTGGGAGTGTTTTTCTGCTAAGGGGACAGGACAACTTCACCGTATCAAAGGGACGATGGACGGGGCCATGTACCGTCAAATCTTGGGTGATAACCGCCTTCCCTCAACCAGGGCATTGAAAATGGGTCGTGGATGGGTATTCCAGCATGACAATGACCAATAACATACAGCCAAGGCAACAAAGGAGTGGCTCAAGAAGAAGCACATTAAGGTCCTGGAGTGGACTAGCCAGTCTCCAGACCTTAATCCCATAGAAAATCTGTGGAGGGAGCTGATGGTTCGAGTTGCCAAACGTCAGCCTCGAAACCTTAATGACTTGGAGAAGATCGGCAAAGAGGAGTGGGACAAAATCCCTCCTGAGATGTGTGCAAACCTGGTGGCCAACTACAAAAAAAACGTCTGACCTCTGTGACTGCCAACAAGGGTTTTGCCACCAAGTACTAAGTTATGTTTTGCAGAGGGGTCAAATACTCATTTCCCTCATTAAAAGGCAAATCAATGTATAACATTTTAACATGCGTTTTTCTGGATTTTGTTGTTGTTATTCTGTCTCTCACTGTTCAAATAAACCTACCAATAAAATTATAGACTGATAATTTCTTTGTTAGTGGGCAAACGTACAAAATCAGCAGGGGATTAAATACTTTTTTCCCTCACTGTAGCAGTGATTCGTTTGTGAAAGTGAAACTCGTCCCAGACAATAACCCTACTCCTCATCTTCTTTCTCTCGTCTCCCTCACACCAGCCACGATTACATTTAATTAATACATTTGATCACTTTATATTAAATTTAAATAATACAAACGTAAAAAGGTATTTTGTTTAAATAATTTTTATATGAATATTTTTTGGTTGTGGAACGAATCATTTGAGTTTCCATTATTTATGGGGAAATTTACTTAGATATACGAGTGCTTTGGATTACAAACACGTTTCCGGAACGAATTATGCTCGCAATCCAAGGTTTTACTGTATCTGACTCTACAGTAATATCTGGCTCTATAGTAGTATCTACTGACTCTACAGTAGTATATACTGACTCTATAATAGTATCTGTGGACTGTAGTAGTATTTACTGGCCGTAGTGGTATCTGCTGACTGTAGTAGAGTAGTATTTTGAGTAACCATGAGGGGGCAAACAGAAGGAGGTGCGAGGGGGTTGACAGTCAAGGATGATGTCATGTCACGGGTGGTGGAAGAGGTACCTTCGGGGACAAAGGCGGGTCCGAGCTAGGTGGAGGAGCCGCCAAAGGGTTCTTAAGGGGGACCCCGTGACGAATGCGCGGTCGTTGTGGGGAGTCAGGGCAAGGATCGGCTACAAGGTGTCTCTCCCTCCTGTATCTACCGACTCTACGGTAATATCCACCGACTCTACAGTGGTATCTACTGACTGCAGTATTATCCACTAACCATAGTAGTATCTACCGACTCTATAGTAGCATCTACCGACTCTATAGTAGCGTCTACCGACTCTATAGTAGTATCTACCGACTATAGTAGCATCTACCGACTATAGTAGCATCTACCGACTATAGTAGGGTCTACCGACTATAGTAGCGTCTACCGACTCTATAGTAGGGTCTACCGACTCTATAGTAGCGTCTACCGACTCTATAGTAGCGTCTACCGACTCTATAGTAGCGTCTACCGACTCTATAGTAGCGTCTACCGACTCTATAGTAGCGTCTACCGACTCTATAGTAGCGTCTACCGACTCTATAGTAGCAACTACCGACTATAGTAGCGTCTACCGACTCTATAGCAGCATCTACCGACTCTGTAGCAGCATCTACCGACTATAGTAGCGTCTACCGACTCTATAGGAGGAACTACTGATGATATTAGTATCCACCGACTATAGTAGTATCCACTGACCATAGTAGTAACTACTAACTTTACAGTAGTATCTACTGGCTCTACAGTAGTATCTACTGACTGTAGCAATATTTACTGACCGTAGTGGTATCTACTGACTGTAGTATTATCTGACTATAGTAGTATCTACCGACCCTACGGTAGTATCTACCGACCGTACGGTAGTATCTACCGACCCTACAGTAGTATCTACCGACTCTACAGTAGTATCTACCGACTCTACAGTAGTATCGACCGACTCTATAGCAGTATCTAGTGACTCTACAGTAGTATCTACCGACTCAATAGCAGTATCTACTATCACTACAGCATTGTGTACTGGCTGTAGAAGTAGCTATACTAACTCTATAGCAGTGTGTACTGGCTGTAGCAGTAGCTATACTAACTCTATAGCAGTGTGTACTAGCTGTAGTAGGAGCAATACTAACTCTATAGCAGTGTGTACTGGCTGTAGCAGTAGCAATACTAACTCTATAACAGAGTGTACTGGCTGTAGTAGTAGCAATACTAACTCTCTAGCAGTGTGTACTGCCTGTAGTAGTAGCTATACAAACTCTATAGCAGTGTGTATTGGCCGTAGCAGTAGCTATACTAACTCTATAGCAGCGTGTACTGGCCGTAGTAGCAGCAATACTAACTCTATAGCAGTGTGTACTGGCTGTAGTAGTAGCTATACTAACTCTATAGCAGTGTGTACTGGCTGTAGTAGTAGCTATACTAACTCTATAGCAGTGTGTACTAGCTGCAGTAGTAGCAGTAGCTATACTAACTCTATAGCAGCGTGTACTGGCCGTAGCAGTAGCTATACTAACTCTATAGCAGTGTGTACTAGCTGTAGTAGTAGCAATACTAACTCTATAGTAGTGTGTACTGGCTGTAGTAGTAGCTATACAAACTCTATAGCAGTGTGTACTGGCTGTAGTAGTAGATATACTAACTCTATAGCAGTGTGTACTGGCTGTAGTAGTAGCAATACTAACTATAGCAGTGTGTACTGGCTGTAGTAGTAGCAATACTAACTCTATAGCAGTGTGTACTGGCTGTAGTAGTAGCTATACTAACTCTATTGCAGTGTGTACTGGCTGTAGTAGTAGCTATACTAACTCTATAGCAGTGTGTACTGGCTGTAGTAGTAGCTATACTAACTCTATAGCAGTGTGTACTGGCTGTAGCTATACTAACTCTACAGCATTGTGTACTGGCTGTAGTAGTGGCTATACTAACTGTATAATAGTACTAACTTCACAGAGTGTAGTGGTGAGACCTACTCCTGTGCAGAGGCCCGGCCTCGCCTAGATTGCCCAGCCAGCAGAGGTGGCACCTTGGCAGGCTGGGGCTGGGTCGCTACCCCCCACAACCATCCCCCCGCCCGCTCTATAGTAGTTATCTACGGACTATTGTAGTAGCATCTACCGACTCTATAGTAGCAACTGTACACATTGGGCTGGGGGGGGAGAAGAGAACATCACACTGAAGACTTTACCTCGGCGTTGTTGTGTGTATTTTTTCTGCATTTTTTACGTGAATGAGAATTCCCCCCTCCCCCCACCGATCGAGTGTGTGCGTTGCTAGGGGCAACCACCGGTCAGCTTTCTCGCGCATGCACAGATGCGTGCTTTGGCGCGCGCTCAACATAGTAATATAATAATAGTACTAAATTGTTAATTTAACTACTTTAAAGTTGACGGATGTGAAATACGAATAGCGCTGGCTCACCACGGGGCTTATCGCACAGTATCTGGGTACTTTAAAAAAACGTAAACCCCACATTGTGAGTTAAATCCGTCGCAATTTGAATCCACAGAAACACAAGACAGACAAACAAATGACATATATAGGGAAGATGGCTGTCAGTAAAAAGCCAAACAGGTTCCAAAAGTTGTTGGCATGGCATGCAATAGGTTACCTTGAACTTGGGTGTAAAGCGCGTAAATTCCTGGTGCCAGTTGTTGAGTGTAGAGGCAGGGGAAATGACCAAGAAAGGGCCCCAGATATTTTCTCTCTGCATACACACACACAAAAATGCCACTTTTATTTTAGCGAGCCATTCAGGAAAAAACAGGGTTTTGTACTTATGTTAATCTAGTTTTCACAAGTGGTCGCTGATTCACTCTGACTCCACACATATGAACCCACAACAGACAGATGTTGGAACATGTTTCGTTCAATATAATCGTTCAACATGGCTACCCTTCCAAAAATTGCATTTGGGACACGGCCTTCTTGGGACATGCGGAATCACCAGCTAGATCTCTTTGTTCTGCCCACGTGAGTGGAAGAAATTACTGCTTCACTTATGAATCGTGGCTTGAGGAACCTTGCATGGTACAATGAGCATCACAGTTTTCATAACATCCATATATTTGCTTTCCCATCACCAGACATTTGTAATGACTAAGGGTCAGCTTGATAGCTTAACTCAGAGTTCCAGGAGAATGAGGATTCCAGCTAGGGCCAGTGACCTTGATGTGAATTTCTCAACGATAGGTCCCAGAAATCTACAGCACGGCAGCAGGTTGTGGGAAAATCGCATTGATACCCTCAATAAAAACTGGTAATGATGTATTTCACAGATTGTAGGAAATTTGAAGCTGTTCAAGATCTTGGGGCCATGCTAGTGGCTGCAGAGGGGAACACGTGCACAAAAGGCAGATTCCCCTATAGCCGTAGACTTTTGGGGAAATACTGTTTATACAAATACACACAAGAACGAACACACGGACATAGCAAAGTTGCCGATCCTCTCAACCTCCAGTCCCCCATGCCTCTGCTCTATTGGCTCTGCTCCTGCTCGTAGCACCACACGTCCATTTATCCCTTCTCTGAAAGTGCTCTATACATGTGTTGAGGCATAAATGATGACTCGAAGGCAGATCTTCGTGTAGGGGCTTGCGCCAGTTTTATTAAAGACCTCTCTTTGTGCACGACTCTGTGTACTGCACACTCGCTGCCTACACTCCACACCCCAGGGGAAAGGTACTTGGGATTCCCTAGCACACCCGCAGGCTACCCAAGCCTGGTGCCAAATGCCCCCTACCCCAGGGTCCCATCGCTCCCCCAGGGGAAGGGTACTGGGGAGGTCCCTAGCACACCCACAGGCTACCCTAGCCTGGTGCCAATTTCCCCCTACCCTGGGTCCCGACTTCCACCCTTCACGTTCCCGGACTCTCGAGACGACCCTGAACCCGTGACAGGTTCCAGCTTAAATCCCCACGGGGACATGACGTCACCGTCCTGCCCCCTGTGCGTGACGTCACCATCCGTGACATCATCGTACCAGAGGGCGAGCGTGACATGACGTCACTCACTCCTACTCTACACATGTGTAGTGACATCGCTGGATGTCACCAGGTTGTGGGTGTAGTACCGGTCCTAGAGGGGCACGGTGTGCATTGAATAATAGCGCTGGATGGCACAATGTTGTAAGTGCTGTGCCAGCCCTACAGAACATGGTGTGTGGGTGCCGACCGAAGGAAAAGGTCGTGTGAGGCCATGGCACTTTGGTTGACCCAGGAGGACACGTGACCGGTTAAGTTGACAGAGGGGCCGCATGACGAGGCCTAGGGGGGGGGGGGTCACGTGATTGGAACCCAGGTCCTTCTCGAGGTTTCTGGAAGGTGGGCATGGCCAAGGGCAGAGCCGGCCACGCCACAGAGAATATAAGCCGGGTCTAGAGAGGGACCGGGGTTGTTCATCCCGGGAAGAAACCCTTCATCTACGATAGCTGTTCTACGGGTCTTCCAGCACGTGGACCCGGGCAGATGCTGTTGGTTCCGGGTCCGTAGTAACAGTTATGTGCTAACTAGTGTAGTTAGGCGGGTGGTCACCACTCTATGTTGTTATTCTGTTAAGGGGAAGTTACCCTGTGTGTCCGAACTAAACAAAAAGCGCTGCCTCCAAAGACTACGTCTGCAACTCAGTTGAACCCATTACGCGTGCGATTTAGCTGTGCTCTCTGGCCAAACCAACTGTTTATTAAAATGAACAATACGGTGCATCCCTATTTATCTATATATAAAAGGAAAATTTGTGGATATGTGTGTCTGTTCGAAATGTTTAGCATACTTCCCAAAATGCTACAAACTTGAAAATTGGCATGTGGGTAGCTCCCATACTGTACACAATTTAAAACGTATAAAATTAACTGTTGTATTTTCGGGGGGGGGGGGGGGGGGGGGGGAGAAATTACCATGAAGTGTGGGGCGTCAACCCGCATACAGGACTGGTGAGAATCGGTGTGTGAGCTTTTGTGGTATCGATTAAACGTGAATAGGCCGATTCTAAAGAAATCTACCTTAAGATTCCTTTGCTCGATTTAAAGAAACGATTCTTGGCGCACGAGCGTAAGTTTTTTTTCCACAGCGCGTTGGGTTTTATTTGAATGAATCAGGTAATTATCTATGTTTTCTTTTGATTTATTATTCAATTGCTTTAAAAATATATAATTATATGAATTATACAGAAGGGTTGTGTGTAAACGTTACATGTAGCATGTTAAACGTTTTCCCCCTAAGTAACATGGCTAAACGGTACAATGCCAATCAATGGGTGTTACGTAAAAAATGATTCAAGTAAATTATTATTGCAAGTACTTTTAATTCTTACCAATAAAAGGAATTTTATGCCTGTCTGTGTGTCTCTCCGTATGTCTGTGTACGCAACTTGCGACGCTTTTAACTCACAAACTGGGGTTTACATTTCTAACTTTAAAGTAGTTAAATTGACAATTTAGTACTATTAATTATTATGCTACTACGCTGAGCGCGTGCCAAAGCACGCATCTTCGCATGCACGAAACGTTGTGGTTCCCATAGCAATGGACATGCGCGATCTGTGAGGGCGGGGAAAAATTCTCATTCGCTTTCATGCAAAAAAAAAGGCAATGTGTGCAGTTACTACTATAGTCGGTAGATACTGCTGCAGAGTCAACTATTTACCCCCCACTTGCTATAACATTTTTGTTGACGGACTAATGGAGAGACAAACCGCACGCCCGGCTTTCACAATTGCTTAGTATTTGTGTATGTATACGTTATGTCTTTAAGTTTTGAGAATTTTTGAAATATATTTTTCCCCGGGCAACGCCGGGTACTTCCCGCTAGACGCAACAACAAACTAACTCTGCACTTGACGTGATGCAAAGGTATGTGTGGGTAACTGTGTGTGACGTGATGCAAAGGAATGTGCGGGTCGATTCAAATGCATAGCGGCCGATGCAGGGGAGTCGACAAGGGACCGCACCTCTGCCAGATGTGCGAGCAGCGCGATGCTCTGCACTGTTTTCCCCAGGCCCATCTCGTCCGCCAGGATACCGTTGATGCCCTGCAGGATAAGTGCCACACAGACGCAAGTTAATTGACCGATTTGCAGCACTGAAATATTGTACATTGTCACTGCTCGATGATCTGATGCCGTCGACTTAGTCTTACTAATGGAAACCCACTGTCAACAAAAGTGGGGCAACATGGTTGCGAGATGTTAACTATCTCGCCTGGTATACAGGCGGTGTTCGATCCCAAGCCCGACACCTGTATATTTGGAGTTTGCACAGTCTCCCCGTGCTCACGTTGATTTTTCTTCGGGTCCTCCGGTTTTTCCCTCCACATTTAGAAACATGCTTTTAGAGTATTTGGCTGCTATCAATTACCACGTGATAAGCCACTTCCTTGGGTTATTATTTGTGGCCAACTCACTTCAAAAAAAGAGCTAAAAAGCTCAATGGGCTTTACCTGGTAAAATAATTTAGCAAACCCCTGAGCAATGAGCCTGTGTTCCCATCCCCCTTCATTCGATACCTGACTTTCAGCAGAGCAACACAACCAAATACAGTCCGGTTTGTGCGGCGAGGGCGGTCGGAAAAAAACTCCCATCCGCTCATACCTGCTCATAGAGGTTGGCCAGCCAGTTCATGCCCTTGAGCTGGTAGGCCTTGAGCTTGCCGCAGAAGAAGGAGGGCTGGGGAATGTCCTCGCCGGCCAAGATTGAGGGGTTCGCGAGGCTGTAACTCTCCCCGAAGCCGGTGCCCGACGCGTCGGCCGCACGCAGTGCCGCCAGCCGGCTCTCGCTCGCCTCGTCATCAAAGAGCCGCGTCTGCACAAGCGTCATCAAGAGGGGGCAATCATCAGCTTTGTCATTCAGAATCAATTCCTCCTACACAATAAGCAAATCTCAAAGCACTCATCAAAACTATCACTGAATTCATCATGGAACCTCCTTTGACAGTACCAAACATATGAGAGTAGGTTTTTTCCCCTTTTTTTTGGCAACAAAAAAACACCTTTTGCAAGGAATCATGTCGGCATTAACCACAATACTTGTCGTTAGAATGCAAACAAAAACCCACTGATAAATATGCATTGTCTTTGAAACTGATTGGTCCACACCAGAGACACTTTCTTTTGAGCCTCTGGTCTAACACCGTTTGAGACGAGGCTCAAAAGAAAGCTGTCTCTGGTGTGGACCAATCAGTTTGAAAGACAATGCATATATTATCAGAGTATGTTTTTTGTTTGCATTCTGACCACAAGTATTGTGGTTAATGCAGACATGATTCCTTGCAAAAGGTGTTTTTTTGTTGCAAGAAAAAAGTGGAAAAAACTTATTCTCATATCACTGAATTGTTGTTGCTAGACGCAAGCTCGGTGTTTTAGACCTTTGGGCCTGTGCTCGGAAACTGTGCTAAAAACACTTGCATGAAGAGAACACTCACTGAGTTGAATATAAAGCTACACTGCACTAAATTGACCTCGGACAAAGAAGTTCTCAGCCTCCCAAACATACAACTGTCAGTGGACAGGAATGTGCAATTACCCCATTGAAACAGGTCATGAGGAATTAGTACATTTATTTCAGTCACCTGGAAATTGTAATTTGTAAAATTATGCATAAGCATCTAAAGGAACAGCTGTTATGTTCTGGTTATAGTTTTCAACCTTACCATTACCCTTTCGTTGATATTCATACTTCATAAACACAACATATGGGGACTGAATGTTTTCTGCAGATGCGAGGCAGGTCATAGGAGGCATATTCGAAAAGCCAAAAGCTTTTCGAATACGAGCTCTGCATCGCGGTGCTTTGTGAATCCTTACCCTGGCCTGATGGGCCTGAAAAGCTTCTTCAGCATTGCGTAGAGCCCGAGCCTTGTAGAATTCGCTGTCTGTGACGACAATCATAGGGCATCAAGCGGCAGCCAGATGCACCATCAACACAAACATTTGCCTGGACATCCGAGCAGCCAAGTGGTCTGCGCACCCCTCCACGACAGTTCAAAGTACACGTTACAGAATGTGGGGAAGAGTTCAAACATAATAACTACATTCAAACACAAAATCCCAATGTGACTAGAGTTGCTTAAACAGCCTGAACAGAACGTGTAGAAGACATATCTTGTGAGTCAGAAGAACAATGGAAGAGGAGATGGAAGCATTGAAAAGGGCTGCTACTCTGTAGGATGCTGCGGTGAGAATACTGTGGTTATGAATGGAGTAGGCAGAGAATGAATGTTTGTATGTATGCAGAACTTATTTCGCCCTCTACGTAGCCAACCATGCTAATCGGAGAATCAAGGATGGAAGAAGATATTTATTAAGTTACAGATAATGGCAGAGATGTGCGGTTGACTTGATGTAGAGGATGTCGAGTGGAGATGGTAAGTGACAAGGGAGAGGGACACGGAACAGGAGGATCAAAGAGAGCAGAAAAGTTGCTCACGCCTGCTGATCAAGATGTCACAATGGCCAAAGTCGTTGATGCCACCTACTAATCGGTGGGGCAGTTTGGGCGACTGGGCTTTGGGGGCGTAGGGAAGACGTTTATGGAGCTGAAGAGAAGTGTTGGGTTTCCGGCACCATTCGTGCTCCTGCAAGGGCAGCCTGATGTGATTTCAAGTGTTCCTGTCTAGACATGGTGATGAATTTTGAAACGGGACTTTGATGGCATTCCGGCCTGCGACTTTCAACTTCGAAGATGGAAGGGGTGAACCAGGGGGCAGACAGACCGGCCTCGGGAGTTTTGGCTGGCCATCGAACAAAGACAGTCACGGCATCGCACGCTTTCAAATGCGCTTCTGCAGCCATCTGGAATGCTCTTCCATCCGATATTAGGAAGCCACTGGAGCTATTCAGTTTAAAATCTAGATTGATAACTAATTTCTTTAGAACTGCTTTTTGTGTTCAGTTTCTTGTCCTTCGCACCGCTGGTTAACACGGTTGGTAACGTACAGTGCGAAAGAAATTCAAAATACGTACATAGAGCATTTAGGAAGTTGGGGTAGTGGACATCCTTGGTGGGAGACAGCAGTTAGGGGTGCTGCAAGTAAGCGATGGGCATTGGTGTGCTGGGATCTATAGGGTTGGTTGACATTGTGCATTAACCATTGCTCATTGCCACCCTCACCATAATCGTCGTGAGCGGGGTCCAGTGTGACGCCCCCTGGCAGCTGGATAGGCCTGCTGGGCGTTGAGTCCTCCAGCTTCCTCAGGATCTCGTCCTGCTCCATGTCCATCGTCGTCTTCCCGCCAACGAAGTGTGCGTACAGCTCCGTCTGCGTTATCAGGAAGTTTAGCTTCCGCTGCTGGCGCTTGGCCTTGGGGATGGGAGCGGGACGGGAGCAGGATGGGAGCAGGGCGGGCATTAGCTTTCGATGCATCGATTCAAATTGAATCATCCTATGAAGAGGACTTATCCCTTGGCCATAGGAACGTGTAATTCCCACCACTGGTGTTAAAAGGAAACAAGTGCTGCCACGTTGTTCATTAGAGCAGGAAGTCACCTCTCTCATCTCCTCGTCCAACTTGCGCTGCTCCAGCGCCTCCTTGTGGGCGCGCCGTCGGTGCTCCTTCTCCACCTTCTCGTAGCGTTTCCAGTAGAGCAGCATCTCCTTCGTGAGGCGGCGCGCTCGCGGCAGTGTCTCCTTGCAGTTCTTCTGTGTCTGGATGGAAGCTCGCCGCACCTCACGCATGCACTGGTGCGCCAACTGCTCGCGCCCACCACATGCAGACGTCAGCCGTCGTCCCGCAACACCCCCCCCAATGAGAAGTGGTGCCGCAAAAGCGGGCGTTAGCCGATCGTTGCAGGGGTTCGCCGTTCGAATCCGGCGGGCCGCCCCTGGTTAAACGAAAGGCCCACTGAGCTACGTAGATCTTTTTCTAAAAGCGATCTGGCCACAAATAAGAGCTCAAAGAAGTGGCTTATCACATGGAATTTTATAGCAGCTAAATACTCTACACGCACATTTCTAAATGCATGCCGCTGCTGGTTAGTACTGCAGTGCCCATGTATTAACCGTAAAACACTACACACCGTCTGCTTCAGTGTGGATGTTAAAAAGTCCCGTGACATCATTAAAAAGGAGGCTATTGCATACTGACATCATGCTGCAAATTTGCCAAATTTGAAAATTACCTGCAAATTACTGAACTCGTGACAGCCTCCCGCTGGAAGAATAGCGCGAATATCAAATATACCCAATTATAATTCAATATTTTCAGTCCGGGCAGGGTAGCGACAACTTGAAAGCACATTCTATTGCAGTTTTGGTGAGAAAAATGTAAAACATTGTAGGCTGGTGTCATGATACCAAATTCAGATTACTCAAGATGTGCATACATCCGCCGAAACAGGAAAAAAATACTCTAAGCACTGGGCTTAGCCAATCGAACGGGTACTGTAGATATTAAATTACCAAGCAAAGAGACACTTCAGATTTAACAAATTAAAAAAACACACTGAATCCAGGCACTAATGTAAGTGATACAACTTAATATGCTTTAAGTGCAGAGCTCTGCCAGTGGCATGGCACTGCGGAAAAAGGTCGCGTCTTCCTAAAGTGAGAGTGGGAAAGTGGGAAATGAGACGGCGACGATCCCGACCCACCTTTTTGGCATTTGTGAGAATGTTGTTATGGGCCGACGACTTTTGTTTTGCGGCCTGCAGAAGAAAAAAAAACCCCAAACAGGGCACTTCAATCAATCCACAGCGCATTCACAAAACAATTTTGACAAACTTTATTCGTGATTATTCATATTTGATGAGCTCTTGTTGAATCCAAAACGTGGACGAATCTGACACCGGCAATCGCATGCAGCACGGAGCACAGGTCCAGCGCATCACACCGAGCCAGCTGGAGCCGGAACCCCTGGGTGCGCCGCTGCCACTGTCGCCGCCACCGCCACCACCGCCGTTCTCTCACTTTGGGAATATCTTTCTTGGCAACGGTGAGCCACGCGCGGCGCCGCCGCTGGCCCAGCTGCTCCAGGGTGAGGTGCTTGCGGCGCGACGATGTCGTCGCTGTGCCCTCCTGGGAGAAGCGCGCCACCGGCCGCCCGTCCCACGGCGCCGGGGAGCCGCGCTGCTGCTGCTCCTCGCGGCGCCGCTTCCTCATTTTCTTCTTCATGGCTACGGGGGGCACAGAGGCCATGCGTGGTGGGGGTGCGGGTGGCAGTGTTTTTAGAATGTGTGTGAAAACACTGAACTTCTTTCGCACCGTACGTAACCAACCATACTAATCGGAGGTGCGAAGAATTCCATCAACACGATAGCAGAGTAAACCATAATATTATAGCCATGCTGTTACATTGGAACCTCCCATGTTAGGGCCCTCCTGTATAATTGTTTACAAGCAGGAGGTTGTGGTTAAATCCCGACCGTACCGCTGGTATATTTGAAGTTTTTCCATCCACGTTTAGAAACATGCATTTAAATTATTTAGATTATTTTGCTGCTATAAATTCCCACATGATAATCTGCTTCATTGAGCTATCATTTGTGGCCAGGTCACTTCTAAAAAAGAGGCTAATAGCTCAGTGGGTTAACCTGGTAAGATAAAAAATAGTTTAGTTTTATTTGTATATTTCTAAGTAATTTTTTTACTTTTTCCTATACTTTGCACTCCTATCGTGTTTTTGTATTGTTTGTTATTGTAACATTCTGACCTGACCCTACTGGACATCTGTGAAAAAGAGCTTAATAGCTCATCGGGTTCCTCCAGGATAAATATTCTGATTCTGATACTGCATGTAGCATTCGTCGTGTCTCAGGTAAAAGTGGAAAAGAACCACATGTTAAAACACTTTCACAAAAACAACTGCCTAACACACTTCAGCAGGACTCATCCGAAGGAGCCTCATAGACTTTGCGAGCCGCCCTGGGTAAAAAAATTGCCATATTATAATCACTGTGAGAGCAGATATACAAAGGCGACGCACCTTTGAGCTTGCGCTCCTCCTTAGGGCGCTTTCGCTTGGGCCCCGAGGAGTGGCGGTGTGCCTCGTGGTAGCGGTCCAGCGAAGACAGCAGCCCCGCGCTGTAGAACTGGTACTGTTGCAGCTGCACACAGCACACATGGGCGTCACAGCACGCGTCAACCGCACGGCCGCGGCACGGCCCATCTCGCAAATACCACTCATTGGCCTTCCACTGCACATCTCGGACAGGGCCGGATTAAGGTGCTTGTAGGCCCTAGGCACTTCTGAATTTGCAGAGCCACGTAGGCCGGCTGCCTTCGTCTCCCCAGCGCTGCACACCACGCTAGGTTTACCGCAGCATTTCCCAATAACTGAAACAAGTTAAAACGAGGCTCCCTCTAGTGGGGAAAGCCAATGCAGTTCCCAATCAGATCGCATAGGTCACTGAAGCTTTCTTCGTTTGAAAAACAGTGGAAGACTCATTTTGAGTGGGATCTGGAGACAAAGGTGTGATGCGATCGTATAGGATGATGGTGTGGCATGATGGTGTAATGGGCCACGACGGGCCTCTGAGCCATTGCCGAAGATTCATTGGCAGCCTGCAGACCAAGTTTAACGCTTATTTTGCGAAACCAGGTGAGCACTCTAGAGACCAGGATAAGTCTCATTTGCAAGAGACCTGGGGCATTTGTAAGCCTGTAGGGGGTGATTTCTACGTATCCCTTGGTTAACGTTTTTATCCGTTTCACGAAAACTACTGTTAACTGAAATACCTGTTAATCCAATATAGGAATTAATTACATGAGTCACCCACGTGCATAATGTAAACACTGTTAATCAAAATTTTTATGGTTAGTCGAAACAATGGGGTCCTATGGGAGGCGAAATGTTAACCGAAAAACCATTAACTGATGTCACTGTTAACTGAAGGGCTACTCTAATCCCAATTCAGTAATTTGCAGACATTTTAATTTTTTCTAGATTTGAAGCTTTCGTGACTGCAAGGATTCATACTCTTTGGTTTTATTTGGTAAAGTCACGTAGATAAAATAAAACAAAATAAAAGAAAACAATTAAATCACGACGTTTCGGAGGCAACACAAGCTTCCGTCTTCAGGTGGAATAGTCAACGCAGAATATCTGTGTCAGGAACACAGTTCAGAGAAGACCGGGATTATATACAGGTTAAGGGAGGGGGGAGGAGTCGGTAAGGGGGCGTGGGTGGGTGGGAGGGCTGGGTTAAGCAGCCTTTTGACAGACTGCTGCGGGTAACAACCACTTCGCACTGCACGAGAGTGGGTAAAACCCACCTTTTGTTATGCTGCGTGGGGGGTCGGGGGGAGGAAGAGACATGCTGCATTTTTTTAAAGCGGCGGCAAACGGCTGTTCAATTATAAGGTAGCTAAAGTTTGATATACAACTACTGAAAAAAGGAAATGGCTGTACAAAAAATTGAAAGGCAGCTAACGTTTGACTTGATTTATAACATCTTTCCAGTGATTGCTCAATTTGAAACCATCCTCTCGGTTGAAGTTATGTCTGTGTTTGTAAATCTGGATGGCCTCGTGGACTGCTTAACCCAGCCCTCCCACCCACCCATGCCCCCTTACTGACTCCTCCCCCCTCCCTTAACCTGTATATAATCCCGGTCGTCTCTGAACTGTGCTCCTGACACAGATATTCTGCGTTGACTATTCCACCTGAGGATGTAAGCTTGTGTTGCCTCTGAAACGTCGTGATTTAATTGTTTTATTTTATTTTGTTTTATTTTATCTTCATGACTTTATCGAATAAAACCAAAGAGTATTTTAATTTTTACTTTGGAAAATTTGAAGCAATCACTTTTGAGCAAACACACTTTTCAACAAAGTCTTTTATTGGCTAAAGAAACCCCTCATTCTATGCCATTGCCCACCAAGTTGCCATAGGCAATTATGGTTACTGCGTTGCTGGTGCCAGTTGCCGGCAACAATATTCCGAAAATGTCCCGATTTTATCTCGGCCTTAAGTCAGTACCCAAGCCAATGTACCAGTTTGCTGGGTCAACGCTCCAGTGCCACTGCAGCCCAGTCAAATGCGAGGTGTGCTGCCAGTTTGGAACCAGGCCATTGTGGTAATGCTTTAAGCAGGAAATGTGTACGAGTGCCAGAGCCACAATGACAATAAACGTGGAAGATTCCCCCGTACGGGTGAATCGTTAAGTCTGGGGCTCCCCCTGTGGGTTGCAGCGGCGGTGTCCGCACAGCTGCTGCTGCTGCTTAGGCACGTGGCGTGCAGCGTACCTCCTTGTGCGAGCGGAAGCGGCTCTGGTGGAGCTTCCTGAACTTGTGGAGGCGCAGCATGTCGTGCAGCTCCTCCTGCGTGAGGGAGAAGGCGGCCTCCTCCCCGTCGCTCTCCGACTCGGAGGAGTCGCTCAGGAGGATACTCTGAGGGCACGCGCCGTGCACACCACAGCCGGGGCATCGTCACAAATCGCTCTTTATTGGAGGAGGAAACTATCAGCCGAAAATCACACAAGTTAAAACGTATCCTGAAAAGCACCTTAAAGTACATGCTCAACAAGAGCAGGTATGCCACGTGACATGGTAGCGCTGCTTTTTCAGTACCGAAGACCCATTATAAGGTATGTATTTGCCATGTTTCTTAAAAATACAAACGTTTCAACGTTTGTTATTTCTGCTTGTTCAGCTGGCTGCTGTTCATGAGTCATTGCCTATGCTTTAAGCATGCTCGACTCTGCTGATGAGACACTGAATGTCAAAATAAGTCCAGCGTTCGTTTGTATTAAACCAAAGCTGCCGAGAATACACTACGAGCAGGCTGTGTGGCAGATATGATGTGCAAATAATACTTTAACTTTCATGTGGATAGACAGATATGAGGTGGTGTAGCGTCAGCTTGAGTACAATGTTAATTACTACTGTAAATGGTCTCTCGGTAGGGGCATGCCAGGTGCTAGTTATTTGCCATGAATGCAATGCACCACGAGAATTTCATGGACGCATTTGTATTCCTGAGCATTGTTACACCACACACAAATGCCTTGGTGTCGACCAAAATTGTAAATATTGAACTATAAGTTCACTTCCAAGCCAAAAGCCAAAGGTTCAGCTCTATGTAATATAACAGTGCTGCGTTGATCTACATGTACCATTAAAAGTGAGTTCCTGCTTCAACGAGTATTGAGGCGGTGCTCATCTCCTGTTACAGCCCCAGCCAGTGGTGGTAATTCCACATTCCTATGGTGGGGGCGAGTCTCTGAATAAGATAACTGCTGTTGAATATTCCATAAAGTGGTCGTCATTTAGTGACTTCAGAAAAATGGATAAGCTGTAGTCGACCTCTGACCAGGATTTGAACTTGCAACCTTCCGATTGCGAGCCACACTCTCTAATGCTGAGCCACATGGCTAGTTGTACAATATTACATTAAATACTTTTTTAAATAAATATATATTATATACCACAAGGCAGTATAAACACCGTAGATTCTGGTTTGAATTCTCCCGAGTAATTAATTAATTTGCTTTAGGAACATAACCATGATCAATGAGGGTCTTGGTAAAAAATACCTTCATCCATTTCCGACTTTTCTTCAGCTTACTGAAGTTGTACAATTGCGCCTTCTCAGCCTTCAGTTCTGTCAAAAGAAACACATACCGCTGTAGCAAGCCAGAGAAAACCTTGTGATGACAAGCATGAGCTGGTTTAGGCCACAACCCCTGCATCTATTCCTTAGGCTTCTCAAATTTACTGGCTTTCAGTTTAACAACGCTTCCTGTAAAAATTCGCTGTCCTGTTACAAAGCGCACAAATTTGGGGTGAACCGGCAAATGTAACTCTGTCTCATCGTGCAACCCATCTCGCAACCTCTAAGTCTCTCTCGAAGCAGACATGGCAAACATCGCTTCTCTGATACCACTCCGGCCGCCTGAATTCACTACTTCTCTCACAAGCACACTTCGGTGTCGGCATCAACCTTGTGCCACAATGAGAATACTTTTCAATTTCTTGAATGTGTTCTCCCACACTGCTGAATGTCCTTTCAAAGTTCATTGTGTGCACGTTGTAAAGTGGTATTTCTCAATTAATGAAACGCAAACTAGGAACGTGGCGATGGTGATGACTCCCTACCTGCTGACAGGAAGCCATTGGCCGGCTGTGCGTAGTGGAACTTGTGCGCAACCCTCTTGCCGTGGCGGTCGCCGCCCTCCTCCTGCTTGATGCAGCCGAGCCGCGTCAAGGCCCCGGCCTCCTCCACTTTCATGGCGGCTGCTCGGCGAGCCATGCTCCCTGACGGGAAAACAAACAGCACGCACCCTTTTATTCCACCCGCCACAGCAACGGCTTCACACGCGGCAACTGACACAGCGTCATCATCGGCACATTAACCGGAGCAATTGGTAGTCTTGCGTCGTCGTGCAACCACTGCCGGAAGGTGCATGCTATAAGACGTTGTGTGATATCGTTAGATATTTTGCTTGTTTATCAAGGAAAGCCTCACCAAGCCTTCAGAAAACATTTTAAGTAGAGTCCTGCCAAATTATTGCAGAAGGGGGTGATGTTGCTTTGTGTAATCCCAGTTTGGTAATTTCTCGCTAATTTTTTTGTATTGGGATGTTTAGGCCAATACCAATTACATTGTGTGTTGTTTTCAGCTATTAGAGAAAGCCAGAGAACCCAGATGAAACCCCATGCAGAACAGGGAGATAACATGCAAAATCCACAGGGAAACCCAGACCCTTGTTGCTGCGAGGCGCAAGTGTTACCACTATGCCACTCTAAACCATATATAATTAGACTCATGTAAAAATTTTCCTCGAGGTACATTGATGACATCAATGTAAAAATGGCTCCTGGTGGTGAAGACAGGTACAGGTGTGTCTCGCTTAACGAGCGACACTCCTATAGGAGTGAGTTTATAAGCAGTGGAACTAGAACTCTAGGAGAGCGGTAGCACTTTGCTACAAATTATGTAAAAAAAGGGACAAGGTTTAGCGACTGTGATTAAGAGCATGGAGGATAGCGCAACAGTTTTCCTGAGTCTATGCGTCTTGAATAAGTCAAGGAGAAAATAACTGTGCGGTCGAGTGGACCTGCACATAAAAAAAATCAAGCACTCTTAATTGTAGGATGTCTTGTAAAGTGCCGATGTCCTCTGGTGAAATGCACTTTCCCCCCCAGGTTACAGTAGCCTGTGTGGACTACAACACTCAAAGTGCGGGTGACTTGAAGCTCAATGCAGCCAGCACAGATTATCAACAAGAAACAGCAGACAGCCTGCTCAGTTGTTGTTACTAAAACGTCCAAAATACCGTGTATATCCCATATACTCGGTTACTTGCAGTGCAATCACCACTTAGCTCTGTCTGGGTGAATGCACGGTCACTTGGGCATATTTGCTCTCAAATTCTGCAGAAATGGTGAGTGAATAACCCACCAGGCTGTCCATTGGAAAATGTTCCACAAATGTTACAAAACGAACCTAATACTGCGAGGGTGTGCAAAGTGTTATTGTTATGGATTGCACCAGCATCTGCATGCAGATACTACCGCTTATTCCAGGTCTCCCCTATAAGTCAATCAATCAATATTTATTTTACGTGGCAATACGGCCCTAGTAAAGTAAGCATGGGTGCACAGTACAACATAACTTAATTTGAATTCTGGAAGAGATTCACTCACAACTAAAGGAAACTGGTGGCATCTCAGTTTTCTATTTATATATTGTATTTACAATCATAAAATATGGACCATGAAATAGTTTTACAGATAAAAGAGCTGGATTGATTCCATTTGTGGTAACACCCAGAAAGGTGTAAATTGGAAACACAAGACTGCCTTCTGGATTTCGTACGATTATGCAATCTAAATAAGTTGAGTACTAAAGTAACACGTCAAATGTGCTAAGACCATCAAGGCACGGAGCTAATAATTTTCACCAATCCAGAAACCCCTGGAGACAGCCGAGTTCTGCAAGTGGTATGCAAGTGACATCACAATCCTTCACCTCCTTTACGGTTCATTTAAGCAGAAACATGGAACTGTACACCTTCATATTCTTAGTTCTTTCGGTAAAGTCACGTAGAAGGGAAACAATAAAATAATAAAAATAAAAAAACAATAAAATTCTCACGACGTTTCGACTGCAACACAAGGAATCATCATCAGGTGCGAAAACCACAGCAAGAAAAATTTGAAAAAAGTGGCGTTTTTTTAACGTTAGCACCACGGAGAGCGATTTGGCAGTTATTCAGATGGACGAGTCCATCCGTGGTGCTAACGTAAAAAAAACCGCCACTTAAAAAAAAAAAATTGCTGTGGTTTTCACACCTGATGATGATTGCTTGTGTTGCAGTCGAAACGTCGTGATCATTTTTATTGTTTCATATTTTTATTATTTTATTGTTTCCCTTCTACGTGACTTTACCGAAAGAACCAAGAAAATGAATCCCTGCAGGCACGAAAACTTTAAATCAAAATTTTTGTACACCTTCAGTTTGTGTGCATGGCTCAATGCAGCGGTTCGTTAAATGCTCATCTAGAAAAAGTGCCCTCAGACTTGCACTTGAATCAATTGATGTGAAAAACCAATGTGATGCAATGGTACCTTTACGTCGTAAATTATCACAGTTGCTGAGATCTTGAACCTCACCGTAACTCATGCAGTGCTGGTGCTGTGACCCAGTTTGTCTGACTTTGGAAGCAGACCTATGATGGCCTAACCATGCCAATCCTTAGTGCTGAGCACACCTCTTGCAATACATGCTTGCACATCTTAGCTGGCAACTAACATCACTGATCATCATCACAGCCTTGCTATTTCAGTGAAAAGTGTTGCTATACTAGCAAGAGGAGGTACGTGCATTTAAAGTGAAGAGGGAACCTAGAAATGGTAGGCATGAGGTAGTAGGCACACGGGAAGGGCCAGCCCCGTTCGGCTGAGCTGGACTGGGCCCAGCTGGATCCCAATCGGACCCCAGGGAGACCCCAGCAAGGTCCCATCATCGTTCCACCCAAGCTATGATGTGAGATTCATACAAACACGTCGAGCCACCAAGAGGCACCCAACCTTTGTCAAGGAATGATGTCATCACAGCCAAAGCTAACGAGGCCACTACACCTCGCCAACGCCTTCTCTCCCTCCGCCAGATTGCGCAGCCGAGGGCCCCACCAACACCGAACGTTGCTGGAGGGCGGGCCGAGGAAGGGGCACCTGTGATCCTGACGGACGGTCGTGCATCCTCGGCCTCGGGGCTTGTCTCCCGTTTGATGTGCAGCAGGTGCTCCGCAAGCTCCGCCTTTGAGTCTTCACCACTCTCATTACTGTCATCATCACTGCCAAACACACGCATACACAATTCCCCACATACACAGTGGGGGGGAAGGGAGGGGTGTTAGCACGACGTCCACCAACTTATAGTGAGATATATTTTAGAGTCAAGCGCACAGGAACTTGAGCCGCATCATCGGTACAAAACCGGCAATAGTGTCACTCCCGATATCCAGGTTGCTCAAGAATGTTTATAAAGCTGTTGATGCATTGCAGAATAATTCTACAATATTACCTTATGTTATAAATGATCAATGAATATTTAAAGTTTCATTCAATTGTTATTCAGGTATATTTAGACTGAGTAATCACCAAATAAATTAGCTATTGAACGCTTGGCTTTATAGATCCTGTGACATTATTAATGAAAATAAACTACTGTGCACTGTCATAACTAAATGGCAATGTTGCAAAGTATATATAGATGTGGATTATAAATAACATTCTGAAAAACTCCCTAATAAATGTTCAACATTTGTTAAGGAGGTAATTAATATAATTTGGATTGCACAGACCCAGACTCAAATCCACCAGCAGGAGAGGAACTCATCCTACTGAGTGTCAGCCACCACTGTCTAGATTGCAAGGCTCCCCTCTCCCAGACTCCCCAACAAGGGAACATTATAGCAATCCTTAAGCCACAAAAGCATCTTGGGGCTCACCTGTGTTTCAACGACAAAATCTGTCAATCTTCAAAACACGTTGTGGCTGAATTCACTCACCTCTGTGATCCAATTTCCCTACGCTCCCTTTCCCACCGTCTCTACTGAAAAAAGTATCTGCCTTATTTTCCCATATTTTAATCAATTTCTCTTCTATTACCATTCATCTGGAATGGCCTCCCTGCCGTAACGTAATTCAAGACCCATGGTGGCAAGATGTTAACTGCCTCGCCCGGTATACAGGAGGTCGTGGATTTTGATCCCAACCCTGACGCCTATATATTTGGAGTTTGTATTATCTCCCCATGGTTGCGTGGATTTTTCTCCGGGTCCTCTGGTTTTCCCCTTCACATTTCGAAATATTAATTTTGAGTATTTAGCTGCTATAAATATCCACATAAGCTACTTCAATGAGCTATCATTTGTGACCAAGTTGACTGACCTGATACAAAAAAAAAGTTTCTTTTATAGTTTAATTCGTTATCTTGCTTGTGGAACTACCCAATTAGTGAGCTGCATTTTAAACATTAAGCAGTGTACAGTAATGCAGTATACATTTCAGATCATTACAGGCTATTGAGTCTCAAGTGTGCAGCGTGTTCATCACACGTTGGCAATAGTGATGACAACAGCTATGGAAACCAAACTAGATCTTCTCAAACAAAACCCATCAGCTCCACAATTCTGAAAAAGCACATGGCTCAAATGGAAAAAGATGTCAATTAAAATAAGTCACCTGAAACATAAGAGACCTGAGCCTTTGGATTCAAACACTGCAGAAAAGTGAGCATCGCACTGAATTTTCACAGAGCCGAGTGCAACAGTAAATATAAAGTTTACCGATTGAAGTTCAAGGAGAAAATGTGTGCTCAAGCCGAAGCGGTCAACTCTGCACAAGTGGGTCTCAGGGTGAAGAAATTATTAGGCATGAAAAAGCATCATGAACACTGCCAAGACTTAACATGTGCATGCGCCATCATTCTCCAGAGTGCACCACTCTGCGTCACTCGTAGCCACACTCAAACAATTACTCACAGATTGTAAAAAAGAACGACGCAAGAAATAACCATGCACATAGAGCAAGAAAGTAGAAAATGTCTTCTAAAGGAGACAATCATATTAACAAGTTATCCCCTGGCTAAAATTAGACAATTATGTATAGTAAATATGTCATAGAACAGTAGCTTGAGATGCAGTGGTTTTCGAAGTCACACAAGACAAAATTGCAATTGTAATTGCAGTTCAGCAACAGAAATGAGCTCCCTTAATATTGCTGGCTAGACGGGCGAGCGCATTACGTCCCTGCCACCGGGCCAATTTGGAGTAATAATGTTGCAAGACCATGAACCACGTGCATTTACATGTCTGCCGTACCCCATAATGACGCTGTGAATTCACTGAAAACAGTAAACAATGGTAAACACCGATGTAACTGTAAAATAATGGTCAAAATCGTAATTTTAAAATGACCTACAAGCAATGTTGTAATTAATGCAGCTAACCCTGCAAAAACACTGAAACCTTTTTTGTGGCTTGAATAAGTAGAATCAAAAAGACTCTTGCCCAGTTCAAGGTCACTAACTTAACAACCAGAAAAGTAGAAATAACTTCATGCGACTTTGTTGTAATTGGCCAATCTCAAACATTTCACTTCGTTGAGCTTTTTCATAAAACAGGGCCACATGTAGGATTGTAAGCAGGTCACCCTAAAATTGAACACAGAAAGTCCCCAAGTTACGAACACCCGACTTACAAAGAACCGCGCTTACGAATGTGCATCTATAAAATAATAAAATATTAACCATACAATGTGCGAACACCAGCTCGCACTTGTGAATCGAACAGTAGAACTATTCTGTTCAGCGAAGCGATCGTCCGCGTGATGTAATGAGTCTCAACATCCCGCTGTGTTTGTGTGCGCACGTGTGTGAAATTGAGTGTGTGTGAGAAACTGGGTGTGCATGTGTGAAAGTGAGTATGCGTATCATTGCGCATGTGTGCATGCGTGCGCTCGCCCCCGTGTGTGTGTGTAGGGAACGGAAGTGCAATGGTTAATGCGCTGTGCTACAAACCCGAAAAGCAAGCCAAGCATCAGGACTCAATGTAAGTGAAAAAAACAGGTTTTTTTTCTTTTCATGTTTCTTAATATTATGTTTTATTTACTATGCAATATTTATTATTTATGAGTTTAACAAAACTTCCCTTTTTTGTTGAACCGTAACACGTTATAACACTGACTGTTTGGGCATTTAAAAACAGTATTCATGTGTTCCAACTTATGATCTGTTCGACACGAACGGGTCTCAGGAACAGAACCCGTTCGTAAGTCGGGGAAATACCCGTATTGAGAAAAAAATGAAGACAGCACAAGAACAAACACCGCATGTTCTTACAAAGCACCGAATAGAGATCTCTACAAATGTTTGCTCGATCAGCATTACGTCCCTGCCACCGGGCCAATTTGGAGTAATAATGTTGCAAGACCATGAGCCACGTGCATTTCCATGTCTGCCGTACCCCATAATGACGCTGTGAATTCACTGAAAACAGTAAACAATGGTAAACACCGATGTAACTGTAAAATAATGGTCAAAATCGTAATTTTAAAATGACCTACAAGCAATGTTGTAATTAATGCAGCTAACCCTGCAAAAACACTGAAACCTTTTTTGTGGCTTGAATAAGAAGAATCAAAAAGACTCTTGCCCAGTTCAAGGTCACTAACTTAACAACCAGAAAAGTAGAAATAACTTCATGCGACTTTGTTGTAATTGGCCAATCTCAAACATTTCACTTCGTTGAGCTTTTTCATAAAACAGGGCCACATGTAGGATTGTAAGCAGGTCACCCTAAAATTGAACACAGAAAGTCCCCAAGTTACGAACACCCGACTTACAAAGAACCGCGCTTACGAATGTGCATCTATAAAATAATAAAATATTAACCATACAATGTGCGAACACCAGCTCGCACTTGTGAATCGAACAGTAGAACTATTCTGTTCAGCGAAGCGATCGTCCGCGTGATGTAATGAGTCTCAACATCCCGCTGTGTTTGTGTGCGCACGTGTGTGAAATTGAGTGTGTGTGAAATTGAGTGTGTGTGAGAAACTGGGTGTGCGTGTGTGAAAGTGAGTATGCGTATCATTGCGCATGTGTGCATGCGTGCGCTCGCCCCCGTGTGTGTGTGTGGGGAACGGAAGTGCAATGGTTAATGCGCTGTGCTACAAACCCGAAAAGCAAGCCAAGCATCAGGACTCAATGTAAGTGAAAAAAAAACAGTTTTTTTTTCTTTTCATGTTTCTTAATATTATGTTTTATTTACTATGCAATATTTATTATTTATGAGTTTAACAAAACTTCCCTTCTTTGTTGAACCGTAACACGTTATAACACTGACTGTTTGGGCATTTAAAAACAGTACATTCATGTGTTCCAACTTATGATCTGTTCGACACGAACGGGTCTCAGGAACAGAACCCGTTCGTAAGTCGGGGAAATACCCGTATTGAGAAAAAAATGAAGACGGCACAAGAACAAACACCGCATGTTCTTACAAAGCACCGAATAGAGATCTCTACAAATGTTTGCTCGATCAGCATTACGTCCCTGCCACCGGGCCAATTTGGAGTAATAATGTTGCAAGACCATGAACCACATGCATTTCCATGTCTGCCGTACCCCATAATGACGCTGTGAATTCACTGAAAATAGTAAACAATGGTAAACACCGATGTAACTGTAAAATAATGGTCAAAATCGTAATTTTAAAATGACCTACAAGCAATGTTGTAATTAATGCAGCTAACCCTGCAAAAACACTGAAACCTTTTTTGTGGCTTGAATAAGAAGAATCAAAAAGACTCTTGCCCAGTTCAAGGTCACTAACTTAACAACCAGAAAAGTAGAAATAAATTCATGCGACTTTGTTGTAATTGGCCAATCTCAAACATTTCACTTCGTTGAGCTTTTTCATATAACAGGGCCACATGTAGGATTGTAAGCAGGTCACCCTAAAATTGAACACAGAAAGTCCCCAAGTTACGAACACCCGACTTACAAAGAACCGCGCTTACGAATGTGCATCTATAAAATAATAAAATATTAACCATACAATGTGCTAACACCAGCTCGCACTTGTGAATCGAACAGTAGAACTATTCTGTTCAGCGAAGCGATCGTCCGCGTGATGTAATGAGTCTCAACATCCCGCTGTGTTTGTGTGCGCACGTGTGTGAAATTGAGTGTGTGTGAGAAACTGGGTGTGCGTGTGTGAAAGTGAGTATGCGTATCATTGCGCATGTGTGCATGCGTGCGCTCGCCCCCGTGTGTGTGTGTGGGGAACGGAAGTGCAATGGTTAATGCGCTGTGCTACAAACCCGAAAAGCAAGCCAAGCATCAGGACTCAATGTAAGTGAAAAAAAAACAGGTTTTTTTTCTTTTCATGTTTCTTAATATTATGTTTTATTTACTATGCAATATTTATTATTTATGAGTTTAACAAAACGTCCCTTTTTTGTTGAACCGTAACACGTTATAACACTGACTGTTTGGGCATTTAAAAACAGTACATTCATGTGTTCCAACTTATGATCTGTTCGACACGAACGGGTCTCAGGAACAGAACCCGTTCGTAAGTCGGGGAAATACCCGTATTGAGAGAAAAATGAAGACAGCACAAGAACAAACACCGCATGTTCTTACAAAGCACCGAATAGAGATCTCTACAAATGTTTGCTCGATCAGCAGCGATATTTTAGCTCCGATTAATTACCCATACAAGCACTGATAAGGTTTTGCACACACCACTTGCACAAAGCTCGTACACCGGCAAAGCTTATGACTAACAAGAGCCACACGCCTTCTGGCTTACCCGCTTAACCGTGCTGCACGCATTATTCGAATTAACAAGAGCATCCTCTTGCAGTGTCTACCTCAAAAACAGCATCTCCAAGGTGTTTATACACCTTTCTTTCCAAATTCACCCCCTCACACGTGAAACACATTGCACTAATTAGCTCAGTTAGCAGATGGAGCACGATTACACTTTTAAGCATCACACCTGCCGTGAGCGAGCAGTGGTTACAGTATGACTTAAAGCTTTCATAACTGCAAGAATTCATATTCTTGGGTCTTTCGGTAAAGTCACAAAAATATCCAAAAACTACGACCGCTTGTGTTGTGATCGAAACGTCATAGTAATTTTTTTGTATTTTCTTTGAACCTATCTACGTGACTTTACCGAAAGACCCAAGACTATGGTGGTTTAATTGGCGCTTCGGGCGAGCTATTTTGAAGTTCGACGCCCCCCTGCGAGAGAGCGTGTTTCCTCACCTGACGGGGAAAGTGCGGTTGAGCACAGCCGACACCTGGTGCAGGAAGGGCTCCAGGCGCAGGCAGCGCTCCAGGTGCTGGAGCTGCAGGGGGCTGGCGAGGGCCGGTGGGCCGCCCCCGGGTGCTGCGTCTGCTCCGACCTCCGTGGCCATGAGAACCTAGCGGCTTGCAGTCAATGGGGAGCCTGCACAATGGCCACGAGAGGAGGAGAGGCAACCGAGTGCTTTCGCTGCCAAAGTGGCTAGACGTCTGTGAAAAAGAGCTTCATAGCTATTTGGATTCCTCAAGTGCAAATAAATATTTTTATTCTGTATTGCGCAGAACCACAATCATCTGTGGCCGTGTAAACCCACAAACTGCATTCATCGCAAGTCAGGGTTAACTTACAAACCCGTTCACTCGATAAATAATACAAATTTACGAGAAGTAACTGCAGAGGAATTATCATTCTTCTCAAATTTCATTACTCGATATACAGCAATGGGATTGTTCAGTTCGGCCTCCTGAAATAAAGATTTCAAGCAATAACAGGATGGGTATTGCACAGAGGTAAATAAGGAATACGCAAGAGAATTGGTCATCATTTGGATTTTTTTATTAGAAAAGCTTACGAATAAAATAATAATTTCAGGGAAGGTGGTGTGAGTGTTGTGTGTGCAGTGAGGTAATGCTATTTATAGCAATGTTCAACACTGCGGGACAGCGTGAATGTGCATTTTAGCAAACCTTGCCAGTCTTCTTCATGAGAAGAGTGTTTTAAATTTACATGATCGTTCTCCAATTAAAGCAAGTGTGCTCTTCCATTCCCGGACAGAGCACAAAGCATTTTCCTGTTTGGAACAATTCAACAGCAAGGCAGCCGCTCATACAGACCAGCAACCCAACAATGCCTGGCAAGCCTTTGCCTGAAATCCTCTCAGGTTCTACCTTATCACAACGCCAAGACATCCTTTATCTGTAGACATGGGCACATGGTTCACGCTTGTTTTCCTTTATAAGAACAAACCCTAGTTTAATCAATGCAAAATCATTTCTTGCACGTGGTTTTATCACATATTGCTGATGAGAGGGACACAACCCAGCTTTACGCAAGACTACCATACCTCAGCTAGAGTAGATACCTGCACTTGGGATTAGGTGATCGCAGCAGTGTAATTTTGTCTGGGCACGCACAACAGGGACTGCAAATAGCCCAAGCCACTGCTGCTGCGGCTACTGCATGATTATTTATTATAGTGGACACGGAATTCAACTGCTCCCTTTCAAAAAGCAAATGAACAAAGATCCAACATCAAAAGCAGTTTTTTTAAATATCATACAACACAGCAAGTGCTGTTGCATTTTTTTGTGTCGTTATATCAACTTGTAATATATGACACAGAGCACATATATACAGGAAACATTTGATTAAAGTGGAAATTGAATAAAGTTACACCGAACAATTTACGGTCCTCTACAGTCGACACTATGAATAATGAAGTATAAATTTCGATTTAAAGCTTTCGTGACTGCAGGGATTCATCTTCTTGGTTCTTTCGGTAAAGTCACGTAGAAGGGGAAAAATAAATTAATAAAAATAAAACATTAAATAAAATTCTCACGACGTTTCGGCCACAACACAAGCAGCCATCCTCAGGTGAAGAAACAGAACTGTCTTTCCAACAGAAACAGAACTGTCTTTCTGACAGTTCTGTTTCTTCACCTGAGGACGGCTGCTTGTGTTGTGGCTGAAACGTCGTGAGAATTTTATTTTATGACATATTTTTTATTATTATTTCCCTTCTACGTGACTTTACCGAAAAAACCAAGAAGATGAATACTGAAGTATCTCAATCAGCCGTAACAATACTAGGACAAAACTAAGTTGAATTTTGGTGCCTGCTTTTCAAAATAACAGGACGCGTGCACTAACAAAAAATTATTGCATATCATTGTTACATTCACGCGTGCCTGAAGACACTTCAGAGAGCAGAGAGGAAGGTGTTCAGCCAGAGCTTGAAGAGCAAGGAAGTCAGAAATACGGAGGGCAAGTGGGAGGAAATTCCAGACAATGGGAGCAGCAGAGAAGGAACGACCTCCCTTTGAGTAAAGATTAACTAAAGGCCTTAATTTGTGGAGCAAAGGGCAGATGGAGGGGAGTAGATTGAGATGAGACGTAGGCAGGAACAGTCCTTTGAGGATATTTAAGAAAGTTTTTTTTTAATTAAAGATGGATGACAACCAGTGGAGGGACCTGGGGATTGTGGCGATGCCGCCACATCGATAGCTGTAGTCGGTAAGAGGTCCGGTCTTCTCCTCAATTTGGAGTTTGTGGGTGAGATATTTGGGGAGTTAAAAGATGACAAAGGCATGTGCATGGGTCAAGAGAGTCGATGGGACAAGTGGCAGACACAGGAGATGTTGGTCATAAATAGGTAGGGGGGACTGCAGAGATCAGAATACAAGGGAGGTGAATGAGAGCTCAGGGCTGATGGTGAATACAAGTTATGGCCATTCTTTGTCAGCGTAAGACCAGACTGTTTACACGTAATGGTAGTCACCTTATGATGAAGGTTCCCACATGATTATCAAGATTGTTTAAATAAGTAAACTTACAGCCCTTTGTTAATCCACTGATGGATAAAGGGAGGTCGAATCAGGATACCATCTTGACCATTTCCCTTTCCAATGACATGTGTACGTCATAAGTTTATCTTCCGAATCCGTTCCAATAAAATAACTTAATCAGTACCGAGGCTCCCACAAGGTCATGCGGGGGGGCGTGTGGCAGAGTTGGCGCCAGCTATCATGGAGTGCGGTCATGTAGCTACAGTTCTATGCGGTGAGTACGTCTTTAAAAAACAAAGGTGCTACACCTCTCTCGAATAACGCCAACCGCTTGCACGTTCTGGGATTCAGCGGTGAACGGGGCCCACCCTGCAACAATATAAACGTCTCACAATGAGAAAGGGTGAAAACTGAAATGATTCACATCACAGGCCGGATGAGTCATGACTCAAAGCAGAGCCCTACTTCACGTAACGGGATTGAAGAGATTACCTTGGGTAGAAAGTACAATGCCAGGCATCTAGCAGGTAGAATATACATGTGTCTGAGATGATGCCAGTACAGCATCAATAAAGCAATGCCTTACAAGAGTTCTCATATTTTGGTCCAAGTCAGGTGTTCCACGAATGATAACAGCTAAGTATGACTTTACAACATTATTATTTTATAAATGGTGTTGGGGGAAACGAATGTACAAAGGTTTTGGTATCTACATAAATCACCATAAACATTAAAAACAAAAAAGTTAAAACATCATCCAGGGATCAAAGGTAAAATCCAAAGTTATTGCAGTTGGACAAAAAATTCACAGCTTAGAATTTTAGATCATGTGGGAATTACATGAAAGCCATCATCTACCCAAGCAAGGAGCAGTGGGGAAGCTAGCTAGATAAGCAGGTTCCAACACATCTGCTCTTAATGTCTACAAAGTTTCAGTCCATCCTGGCTCCAGCTACCAGCTCGGCTGCCATTTGTTTTTTACGAGTGTGGAGTTCCTCCTTCACAACAACGCTCCAGTTCACAAGCCACAATTTGTCCAGGCTGCTATCACAAAAGTATGCCTTTAGAGGAACTGAACCATCCAGCATGCAGCCCAGACTCGGCCCCATCGACTTTCACTATTGCTACTGTGCCGTTGTATACATAACAATGATAGCGCACGGTCCTTGGTTAAGGCACTTGCTAGACGAAGGTCTTCCAGGGTAGTGCCGGTGGTGGAGGATGTTGGCCGCACTTCGCCACGCAAGTCAGTGGATGATTGGTAAAAGTGGGGAACCCGGGAATGATTCAGTAATCGCTCGCCACTCATGATAGCCGTGGCCGGAAATCGAACTCTGGTATCCTGGTTCAGACTACAAGTGCGTAATAGCTGTGCCATCGCTCCTCCCCACTTTATCAGTCGGGTGAAAAAAATGTCATCCTCACTTAATGCCAATGCAAACGTACAGAGCCACTCAAGACACGGCACAAAAAGCACCACCACCACTACTTATATGCCATGTCTTGTTTGGCTCTAGGCCCCGAGCACTCACTTGCATTCACACCCAGTTAATGTTGCACAAACATTAACCTCAAGCCAAACTCTTAGTTTATCCGTGAGACAGCTGGCGAAATTCAGCATCTCCTTCATTAAGATCTGCATTTCCATAATGACATGGTGTCAATAGGCACGTATATTTTCAGAAGAACACAAACTAGAAAACCCATATTTTTAAATATCTTCTTTAAGCGCATTACGGGAGGAAAATAAAATTAGCTCAATCACCAGACAAGCACACTTGTCAAAGGTACAGCTATATGCCACAAACATTACACATGAGCTGTGTAGGTGGGATTCCTACTGACAATTATAACTTTGCAATACAATGCACCTAATTGGAGAAATAAAATTAGATATTCTGATCCAGATCTGTGAGTCTGCCAAACATGTTTAACATTTTCTAATGCAATATGGCATGTTGGTTACCAATACAGAAGTTCAATTTTTTGTCTGCAAATAGCAGATGTTGAGCCCGTGCCTCTATCGGATAAAGATATTGAGCCCTTGTGTATATTGGGTTAGAATGTTGAACCCATGCCTCTATAGGCAGAGGTGGGTGATTAAAGTGGTCTTTCTCAAACCACTGTATGTTTACTGACCTTTGCTATGCATAGGCAAGTTAAGCCACTACAAGCTTCACTTATCTTATGGTTACTAACCACAGATCGCCGCACCACGGGGCTTATGACAACTGGAGTTTGAGAAACAGTGGCTTGTAGGGTCAACGTCTATGGTCGTGATAGGGTATTAAGCCGGCATTCTTGACATCCTTGATTCAAATAGTGGGCATTCACGAAAGACTACAGAGGGGCTCTTTCACGGGAATTGCGTTTGTCTCAGCATCATCATTAATGAATATAAAACACACATGTAACAGTTACTTCATTCAAGCCTAGCTCTGAAGGCTAATTGAGCAGATAGGCTGAGAACTACTCAACCATGTGCACATCTCAAGATGCCACAGTCCATTGGATAAGCTAAGCCTCTCTCACAAGTGGTCCCAACGTCACAAGGGGTTTGGCAATGGAAAAAGCTCTGCAATGCGCTTGAATACCAGCAATGCAATCACTCTATTAATAAAGTATATTATATCAAACTCTTCAAAATACATAGAACACACTGCTTTTGCTCACAGAATAATGTTGAGGCACATGCCTTGAGCGTAATGTAAAAGCAAGCCTGGTACTGATGGTCATGAAATCTAGCTTTCAAATTCATGGATGTGGGAGCTGAACATTAACCGTGTAATCCAGCCGTGCTCAAATCCTGTTAAATGAGGTTTAATATTGGTAATGTGCTTATATGTTCATATACAGAAAAAAATATGTTCTGCACGGGCTTTTATATGTATTTGGGAATGCAGCATTACAGTGATGCCAGAAATATATTCAACGGATTTGTTTAATAGGGTGAAAACCTATTTCCTGACATATTGGCAGGAAAAAAAAATCGAATTTAGGATATGACATTAACTCCTAATGCCCACTGTCGTGAAAATTGTCACTGGATCTTTATCATCTATTCATTGCAATGCTTTAGTCAATTCTCTACTAAACATGCTGCAAAATATGCAACGTGGATGTGGGAGCTGAACATTAACAGTGTAATCCAGCCGTGCTCAAATCCTGTTAAATGAGGTTTAACCTGTTCCAAAACTTAACCTGGGAGAAAATTTAAGGCTGTAATTGAAGAAAAAAAACATACTGCAACACTGCCTTTGTATAAGGATATCTGTAAATAAAAAAAAACACGGCTTAATTTCAGTTGAAAACCTATGCACAATACGACTGGTAGAGCAGCAGCAGGCATCCTTTTTGCACTGTACCAAGTCTTGCCTGCAGCAGTTTCAACACGACATTCCTTCCGGGTGGATACAGATCAGACCCCACGCTGCTCCACTGCAGGAACGTGCTTGCACACTGCGTTTTTTAGCATGCGCCACAACCGCTGGCTGGGAATAGGCGATCGTGACGAGGCTTGCGAGACCGCAAGGCCTGAGCGACGGAAGGAGGAGAGGCTTAGGGCGAGCGCTGCTGGCACGGCCCACGCTTGCTGCGTTTTGTTAACAAAGCATTTGGCTGCCCCGCGCAAGGCATGAGCGCACGCCCCGTGCATTGTGACAAAGTCATCATCGTGGCTAAAATGAATACAAATATTAATTAGCACCATTAAGTAAAAAATGCGAGCACAAAACAATACTTAGCGACGTACTGAGGAAGCGATAAAACATTTCCGCATTGAGTTTCATTCCAGACCCTCCCTGTTCGTGTTCTTTAGGTTCCAGTCGAGTCGTTCATTTGACAATTCATCAACAACAAGCGTGGCTTCTATTTGTCATGTCCCTTGCTATTGTAGCGACTCCAAAAGCAAAATACGACTCAGTTGGTGCTATTGTAATTGTTTTATATTTTCCCTCTTGACAAATATCTCTGTCGCATTTCCACATGAGGAGCCATGCGCACATCTAGCATCTTTAGCTAATGCACATAGGTCTTCTCAGTTTCATATTTAATGTCAATTCCAATACCGGTTCAGAGAAAATTTGGGATTTGGGAATTAAGGAGACAGCATACAATAACTTATATGTGGGAATGTTAAAGGGTTGTATGTTTGATTTATATTAGCCTGAAGGTTTAGAATATATCCTGCATAAATGACAAGAAATAAAACGGTGCATGCCACACATATCACAAGCGAAAGGGGTCTAACCACTACATACTGGCAAGCCTATATAGGAAGCATTCTCAGGGTGCTCCAAATAGCAAGTACTTTTTTTTCTATCCCTCTGAATGCCAAACAAATAATGAGTTATCTGACTATCTGAATTGGAAACTGAAAAGTAAAGGACAAAGTAAAAGCAGGAAGAGAGGTGTTAGGAGAGTGAGATCTGTTGGGAGAGTGAGAGATGCATTACGAGAGTGAAAGATGCAGTGAGATGAGTGGAGGCAAGAAATACAGAGGCCTAAGACAATGTGAGTGAGAGATGCAGTTGCAACGGCAGAAAGCAGGCGGCAAAAGGGACCGATGCAGCGAGATGAGAAATAAAGGCCAACCATCTATGTCTGAGATTATCACAGTTGGCTACATAAGTTGTGAAAGAAATTCAACATACATAAATAAAGAGACAGACAAGAGACAGACTATATTTCGGATGGCAAGGCCCATTGAGCTAGGCAGTTCTTTTCCAACAGCAGTGGTGGCAGTTAAGGACATTGCAAGGTGGAACGGTGCAAACTAAAGAGAGCAAAACAGTATTTACATGAAACCCATGCCAGAATTTAGTGCAAACACGTTAAACGATGATTAGTGCTTAAAACAAATAAAAAGATGTAACTAAAACATATGCACACCCTCAATTCATGATGGCATAACATGATGGCAGAAGCAATCCTGCTTCATGGTCTTCAAGAAAACGTATTCAAGGTACCAATTACAATTTTAACCATGGCAAATTAAGCATTCCTTTATATACATGAAAGATGGAAGAATTTACTCACAAACAGATAAACAGTACACAATCCTTTGATATATTAAACACCAGTTGCCATGGACCAAATGTAGTTTGAAGGTAATGAGGATAAACCATAATCTTTGGTTCTTTCGGTAAGGTCACGTAGGTATGAAATAAAATAAATCACGACGCTTCGGGCGCAACACAAGCGTCCGTCATCAGGTGGGAAAGCATGGTCTGCTGCTGAGGATGGTAAGGCATAGAGAGAGAGACATACATTCTACCATTCCTGGATGTTTTGATTGAGAAGAGACCTGATGGCTCGTTGGGACATTCGGGCTGCAGGAAAGCCAACCACACGGATGCCTATCTAAAGCCTGACACCCACCACCATCCATCCCTCATCAAAACACTACACCATAGGGCCCGTTGCATCTCCGACCAGCACCACCTAGCCAGTGAGTTGGAGCACATACACCAAGCCCTCAGGATGAACGGATACTCGGACCGTACAATCCGGAAAGCTGCCTCCACAGCTATGGGGAGGCAACCTTCTGAGGATCCAACCAAAACCATCACTTTGCCATACATAGCAGGGGTTACCAAAAAGATTTCCTAAATCTTAAACAAACACAAGATCCAAGTTCGTTTCAACACAGTACACAAAATCCGTGATTTAATCCCATCTGTAAAGGATGCAATTCCTGACATGCAATACCCTGGTGTCTACAAACTGAGTTGTGGTTGTGGCAGCAGTTCCATTGGGGAAACAAAACGACATGTATCGGAGCGCGTTCGTGAACACAAGGCGGATCTGAAACACGGTAGGACCAATACCTCTGCTGATCATTGTTTGAACGCTGTGGGCTCACACGAAATTGATTTTTCCAAGACGGAGGTACTCTGCAAACCTACCGGATACCTTCAGAGATTTGTTCATGAAGCCATCCATATATAAACACAGACACAACTTCATCCGAGAAGATGGGTACAAACTGAGCAATCATTGGAAGGACGTTATTAACCAGGTAAAGTCTTAACTGACTGATGTTTCCATCCTACCTGCCTATGTCAGCTGTTATTTCCAACTCTGTGTCTCTCTCTCTATGCCTCTCTGTTAGATCTCTCATGCTCACATGCCCTTTGGATTGCACTCTCATACTCACATGCCCTTTGGATTGCACCCGTTGGGGTTGCACTCCCTCGTCGAGGCAGCCGCTCCCCTCCTTTTCTACAGTTACATGCTAATTTCTCACATTAACATCATGCTAATCTCTCACATTAACATAACCATTTCCGTGCCCTCGTCGAGGAGGCCGCTTTCCTATCTTACAGTTACATGCTAATTTCTCACATTAACATCACTAGCCCCAGCCACTTCTTTATGACCCTTGGGCTACACCCATTTCAAACCTTTTAAAACAGTCTGCCTCAGCAGCAGACCATGCTTTCCCGCCTGATGAGGGCCGCTTGTGTTGCGCCCGAAACGTCGTGATTTATTTTATTTTATACTTACATGACTTTACCAAAAGAACCAAAGAGTATGGATTCCTGCAGTCACGAAAGCTTCAAATTAGGATAAACCATGCATAAACTACGAAGATCGAGGAGCTTACTTATAGCATTCACAATCGTGGCAGAAGTAATCCTGCCGCAAGGCCTGAAGAAACATGGCTAGCTAAGTTTATACGTGGAATACCAAGATTGGTTATGAAGACATATGTAGGGACATGAGAAGAAAAATACAGATACAATTCAATGATGCCATGAGACGAGAGAATATAAATTGAGTGAAGAGAAGTTTTAATATGGACACATTTCAGGTATAGAATTAGTAAAAAAAAAGTGAGAAAATGGCGTGAAAATGTATTATTGATATAGAAATCAGTGAGATAAGGTGTGTATTTATATATTCAGACGACATGGGCAATGATGAGATGCATTGGTATGAAATAAAATGCAGATGTGCATTGTAATCACAAGCTATAGAAAAGTGAGAGACTCAATCAAAACCTCATTAATGCCCATTAAAAGAGTAGAACAAATCTGGATATTTCAGTTTTTACAGTCAATGGGTTTGCAAAGACAAACAATCTATTCCTTCACCGTCGCATCCACATGGCATCATAGGTGCAGACCCGACCAAACATTAACATTTGACAACTTGCCATGTACAGTAGCTGGTTTGTTCACCAACCATTCGCTGGTCAAATGCGATATGCGTCCGTTGTACTCACACTGTGTCTTAGCTAGATGTCGAAAGCTGTAAGCAATAATTTTATCATGTTCCCATCACTATCTGCAATGCTGGGAGAAGTTTATGACCGTGGCTCTTGCAATCACTGTGGCAGCGATGGGTACCGGGCCCAGAACTCAGCAAGAACCCGCGCAAATAGTGTTTCAGCTCGAGACAGCGGAGGATCAATTCACACCAACTACTATTCCCATATTCTATAATGTGGAGACTAATGCGCTCACAGGTCTGGAGTCATTCAATGCTGCAATGACGATTGGTGGTTGCGAGATGCCTATTATCGCAATACGATATTTCATTGCATCAACATGTCAATTTTAGAACCATCATATTACCATCATTAAGGGCAAGCATGACAGGGGCAGAATACAAATCTTTCTTTCGACTGGAGGAATCTGGCAGTCTTGCATATATGCCATATTCTCTGTTGGTTCAACATAGGTGTACGGAATTACACAGGGCCTGGTCAAGGCAAGGGACAATTCAGATGAACAGGCCTGAGTAAAAATACGTAGCCAACAGAGACATTCTCTGTGGACCAAGAGGTATCACAGGATTGTCCTGGTGCACCTACACTGTGATCCTTAACTATACCAGTGTACATTTTATCTGATAAATATACATATAAGGGAGGCTGATCAATGGGTCGCTAACCTGCTGGCTAACCTCTCTACGAATTCTGCTGACCTGGTGCTTGCTCCTTATTTTGAGTTCGGGATCCGTCAATTTAACATGCCTACAGGCATCGTCATTGAGAACCTTATATGAGCATTGGGGTGGTTTAGTGTGGAGAAATTCCTATATCTGGGCAGTGTGTTCACAGGTGGCTCTATTTTTCTGGACAGCACGGGTAATGAATGCTCCAACTAAGTTTATATACATTGTTTCATCGGCTTCATAATGCTGCGTGAAAGCTACCTGGTTGCACGCTCCACACTCACCAGCCGCTTGTTATATCTTCGCTCGTGACATGTGGACCCCCTCGTAGGAACACTTGCATAAACTTCACATGAACAGGTTGAACTGCCTACTATATATCCTCAATGGTTGGATTGCATTGTGAGCTAACACAGTCCTGCGAGTGGGATTATTTGGCAGGTCAGTATGCACTTGACATGGAGCCCAAAATCCCAAGCATTCCCTGTTTGATCGGATAGAGGGGGTTAAACCGGCGCTGCAATGGCAAGAGGTGGGTGTACGAGGTGCACAGGACGATCCTGGGGCCGAGTCGACTTGCCGATAACCGACGCCAGTGGTTTCAAGATCGGCCTCTGTGGAGGGTGCTCGTGAAATCGCTACTTCCTGGGCACTTGTTGACCGTAGCCATCCTCAGAGCAGGGACACTAATGTCGAGGAGCAGAACGTGAGGCAGATACAACACAGCCAGTTGACACTTCGGGGAGTGCAGGTGGTAACATCTACCAGTCACGTTGTCCCAGTTAACCCATGGTGAACACCCGGGTCTCTCCACAAACCACGCGGCTTGAAACAGCACCAAGCTTGGAAACAAGCGATGTCGGGTCTTTACTGCCACTGGCAGTGTCGGATGGCGGCTCGTGTGCACACGTGTGTGCGTGTGCTTGACAATGACTCGGGCGCCGGGGTGTGGATGGCGCGGCACACGGCATCATTGCTAGGCCCATCTCGTGCCCGGTTCAACATCTCCCGGCAGGGCCACGGCGTCCTCCTCCTCGCCGTGGTGACCTCTAGCGCAGCGCGGCCATGGCGGCACAGTGCGCACTGTACATCAGCACGTGTCCCCGGCGGGGCTCGCCTCGCTGGCCTCTTATTCGCTCATTTAAACAGATCACATTATATGGCGATATCGACAGCGAAATGGCTCGGCACCAGTATACATCGCCCAAATTAACCCCGACCGAGCACAACATATCCCAAGTCGAGTATTTCAGTCGCTAGTCTGGCTGTACGTATCGAGTGTACACGTGGGATTCGCTCACAAAAGATAATTTCTATTGGGTCTGACGCAGCTCAAGGCGAGTTAATGAGCCCGTATGGATGGGGTTCGAACCACCAGTACCCGCAAAGCCGCGCCTGTAACCCAAACCAACTCCCGCCTCAACCCGGGCAGTTTCTCCAGCAGAAATCCTAAATTAAATGTCCAACGGTTGAATGTCGTTATTTTTTAACAAGCCTTGGACCTTTCAATTGAGCTGAAACTATTGACACATTAACGAGTGCAATTCTCAGCACGGTATCATAAAATCATCACTGGTGGTTTAATGTTTGAGCACCACCCGGCCAAGTGTCCGGAGACCCTCCAGCATCGGGACCTCCAACTCAGTCCTGAACCGACCCAGACTCGGGTCACCCAGACCAGACCCGGTCAACGGAGAGTTCAACAAACATACTTCACGGGACCCGACCTAGTCTCGACCCGACCGTAGAAACGCAGAGAGACCCAGCGCGGCCCGGCCAGCCACGACACGACCGGCGTGGCCCAGGCAGACCCGACCCAGCAGGCCAGACCCCGCGCAGGGCGACCCTGGAGTAGCCCCCTGGAGTAGCCCCGAGGCCTCCCGGTCCGCGGAGCCCACTCCGCCGAGACGTGAGGCCATGTCTCCTGCCCATCCGCAGAGCCGTGTGGCCCGCTCACCTCGCCGTCCTCTGCCTCCTGCGCGTCGGCCCGTGCTCTCTTCGCCTCTCCTCCTCGCAATCCTCCTCGCTCCTCTATGCGCGGCGAACGCGGCGCTGCCTGCGTTAGCACGGGGATCACGCGGCTTGAGCGGCTGCGTGCGCGGCTGTGTGCCGCTCGGCGGCAGGAGCGAGACGCGGCGCCGGCGGCTGCTGCTGCGTCTGCGGCTGCTATTGCTATGGCGCGGGCCGGACGCGTTGGCGCCTCCCGCGCGCGCGTCCCTCCTGCCCTCCCTGCGCCGCCGCTTCCCTCCTCCAAGCCGAGCGCCGC